CACTCATGTCAATGAGCCAGTTAAATGTGACATTAGTCTGGTTTTTACCTTGATGGCAGCAGTGCAATTATGCAACTGTCATGTAATTTCCTGCTCATTTCTTCTTAGAACTTGAAGGTATGTCCAACCATTCATTTAAAATAATTGTTTGTGATTGAAAGTTTAGATTCCCACCCTAATTCTATTGCATAAAATTGTCGTAATGAGCATTCTATTTAACTGTTTGCATATAAAATGACTGGAGAGATTTGTTTTGGTCTGCAGTTTGTATTTCTCTTCAAGATGCACAACTGACGATCCAGAAGAGGCTTTGATTGTAGCCTCAGTAATCCAGTGGACGACCGGTTAAGCTCACAGACATTTGCTTTTGGAAGATCGGCAAACATTCAGACTTACTGTGAAATGGTATCATTTGTGTCTGAACATCATACCTAACCACAGTGTATTTTACCCAAGTGTCAGTGCTTGTCACATTCCCAGTAGCCAACCATATAGATTATGAATATTTTAAACACTCCTTCAAACTGCCATTAAGTGTGGTGCATAAATGTGTTAAATAGTTGTTGGCAAGAGCATGGTTCTGTGTTATGTGTTTCATTTTTTATGTTTCTCTTCTTTAGTGAAACAAAGAATCATTTTATACTACAGCTTTTTATGCCACCTTGTAACATGAGTGAGCAAAATAAACACACAAGTATCAAGTATGTTGATAGGAAACGTCATCCAAAAAATGAAGCCAGTTGAAGGACATGCATGTAGATGTCCCGTCCAGAAGAAGAGGAATCCACGGCACTGCAGCAAGACAGTAATGCTAGAGTCAGGTTAGGGTGATACAGAAAAATGAACAAATACTGTACCTCACGTTAAATTGCATTTCTTTGTTATTGTGCCACATGTACAGTACACACAGTACCTCCTGCAGATCTAGTTCTGGCACAGGTAAGTTACCTGTCGCGTCCCAATCGTCCAAAGCTGATTGACAATTGTACCTCGGTCGGTGAGAACCAAGCCCATAGGATTTATTAATATAGTGTCATTAATGCATAGCTAACTTTAGCTAACACGGACACGTCCAGGTGGGTGTAACCACTTAATAGTGGCCCAACGTTACCGTTACATGCACGTAGAAACTTGGGCTTCATGTCAACACAGCAGCCCTCCATGTTGTTCTTTAATAAACCACACCGCGACACTAACAACAGTAAAAGTAAAGCTGCTGCATTTTAAATAATTTTGACAAAGTCAGCTTACCTCCGTGTCGCTCCTCACAGTCGCCTCCCGTCGGTTTAATGGTGGAAGCAAGACACCAAGCGCCCAGTCGATCCACCAATAGAAACTCCTGGTTCATTAAGCTGCGTAAGCCCCGCCCACGACGTACAAACTCGGATCGCAAGTTTTTTTTTCGAGACCAAAAGATTTTGTTTTGCAACCAAAAATTTAAATTTCATAAGAAAAACTAACAAATAATTTATTCTCAGTTCATATATTTTTACCTAAACTTGATATTTGTTTGAAAGGCAAGACATTTTCTCTCAAAAGTTTGCATAATAAGGACACAAATCTACCTTCATTCTACAGTAAAAACGACTAAAGCTGCACCAGTCGAAGAGTCACAGTCCTGTTTAAATCAGTCTTTATTTAGCTTTTGATCCGGATCCAGACCGCGGTCTTCCAGTTAGGGATCAGGTAACAGAGAGAGACTAAAGTTTAAAGCACAGAGATTCAGCTCCAAGTGACTGAAGTCCTGGACAGTTTGAAGCTGTTAGACTGAGTTACTGTATCGTGGGACTGTGGATAAACACACGTGGTTTTATTGTTAACATTCTATCAAGTAGGAAGTGAACAGAGAGGAACTTCCTGCCTGAGTAAAGTACAAGTTGTGTGTTCTTCCTGCTTGTTGAAGGTGTAAATGTGACCAGCTGTACTCACCAGTGTTCTGAAGAGACTCTGCTGTGTTGCTGAGGAACACCTGATGACGTCACTTTGACTTTTCTCTCAGAGAAACACGGAGACTTGTCTTCACTGCAGCGCGTCTGCCTCTCTGACCAACGAACTTTCATATCTGGAGAGTGACGTAGAAGCTCCGCCCCTCTATGCTGACTGGTGGAGGAGTCAAAGTGCTCAGGACCAGGAAGCTGCAGAGATGGAATGTGCTTCACCCAGATGTTGGTGCACTGCTGGACAGGGCTGTCAATCATTCGCCACTGTTTTTCAAGGTGGGTTCAAATGCCTGATTGATGTTACAAGAAGACATTGTCAGCACTTGTTATATTTTTCTCTTTCATCTACTTGTGAATAAGGTCAAATATACAATGTGAGGTCATGGGCAGTGTTGGGTTTCCTTTACACTGTGTTTTGCATTGAGGCTGAAAAGTTCTATTTTTGTCTCATCTGACCAGAGCACCTTCTTCCACATGTTTGCTGTGTCTCCCACGTGGCTTGTGTTCAACTCCCAACGGGATTTCTTGTTGTTTTATTTCCACATTGGCTTCTTCTTGCCACTGGTCAGATGTGTGGAGCACACGGCTGCTAGATTCTCCACCTCAGCTGTGGATCTTTGCAGCTCCTCCAGAGTTACAAGGGCCTCCTGGTTGCTGCTCTATTAAGGACATCACAGTGTACTGTGGATACATGTGACCTTTAACTTTGGTTATGATGGAGGACAATGGTCAAATGTACAACTAAACTATTTCCCTATAAGTATAAGTTGTCTCCCTGTCACTGGAGACAACCTGTCCAAACAGAGGGACCATTCTTCATAACTCCAGTTAATAAGGATTTCTTCAGAAATTACATGGCATTACATGTCATTTAGCTGAAGATTTTATCCAAAGCGACTTACAATAATTGCATTTCAACCATAAGGATACAAATCCAGAAGGCACTTTCATCAATAAGCCAATTCACATTATAAGTACAATTAAATTGCAACAATGTTTTTTCCATGTTATCACACCAGAAAGTTCAGCTGGATCCTCCACAGCTCCCTCTGCTGGGGGGAGACAAACAAAAACAACGTTTGTTTTATTCACTCACTGATCTGTTTATATTCAGTTGGCCTGATATTAATCTACAAGAAGACCATGGCTTTGTTTTAACCAAGACAAAAGAAAGTTAAATAGAACTTAGAATATGTGTTCAATATCTTCAAAAAACTTTAGTTCAAATGTAGATAAATCCTGTTTTTAATCAAATTCACAACTAAAGAGGATACTTAAATATATATATATATATATTGTATTTCAAGTAAAAGGTGTCTCTCGGCCACTGGAGACAACCTGTCCAAACATTCCTTTCTTCTACCAAATTACATTGCAGTGTGACTAAAGTGCAATCTCACCAAATCAAATCACCAAACAGCAGCTCAGAGGATTCAGCCTTTTCGGAGACCCGCATGGGCGATTACCGTAAGTAAAAGTCTGTCGTTCACTCGCTTTTTGGTTTAAAGCGGAAAATGAGAAAACTATGGTATTTGAGGTTTTTCGTTTTACCGTTTAAAAACTGTAAAATGAACTACAAAAGCAAACCACTGTACCTGTGTAGGCGTTCTGTAACTTCTCCACAGCGTTGTTGTGTGTCATCGCCCTCAGGATGGCGACGGTCACGTTCACGGCCGTTTCCTCGCCGTACCTCTCCAGATGGCACCTGGCAATTGGAGGACAGCTGGGCAAGATCTCATGAAAAAACTTTTCAAAATCTGAGTAACCCTCAAGAGAATGAAGGACTGGTATCATGTGAATTATCACATTACTGCTTATGTGATACACAGTAAAGGTAAAATGCTTCTGTCTTTCAATAACATTTGGAAATATATGGAAAGCCTCATGTTCTTCTTTTCTATGTTACCACGTGACAGATGGAAGGGGATGTTCAAGTTACCTCTGACGCCTCCATCCTGAGGGGGGGGGGGGAAGGGGCTTCTTTCTTTCCTCTGAGGTTTATTTGCATCCTCCACAGCTCCCTCTGCTGGGAGGAGACAAACAAAAATGATCTTTGTTTTATTTCCTCAGTGACCAAAAGGATTAAGAATAAATATAGATCTTAGTAAAAAAAATTACAATAGGTGGAGCTGATATAAATTTGATTGTTGTTCTCTCAGGCTTTCTGTCATCATGAAGATCAGACAAGCACTTATCGTTCATTACCGGATGATTAAAGCGGTCGGCGCAAGTTGTGATTTTAACCCTCGAGCCGATCAACTACTAATTCTTGTTTGACGAGTCTTTTTTTGTTTCTTACATGTTGGTTCATATCCATCCAGGTATTAACACCTTTCGCCCCGCGGCTGTTTCTCCTCATGAAACCAGAGAGCTCATATACAGACATTTTTGATAAAAATAGAGAGTCGGCTGTCTCACCACCACAGAGGAAACTACTGAACTCAACTTTAAGGTCCTTCCTGAGGCTTCTTCCTCTGCATTATTCACATTCAGGGGTTGTTTGTGTGGTTGGACTTCTGGGACAGAAGATGTCGCATGTGTGCAGACTGAAGGACTCAAAGGTCTGATTTTGTTCTATATAAAATGAGTTAAGTATAATGTTTATGGAACATGATGATGAATGTTAGCTGTTGGGTGATGAAGGTGTGATATTATTTCCCATGTTTACTTGAAGAAGCTTCAGGCCAAAGGGTTTATTGGTTGAAAGGGTTATTGACGAGGTTCGGCTCTGGTCAGGAGAGTCAGGGATTCCAGGTTCGGCCACCAGATGGAGCCCGAGAGGAAGGTAATGAACCGGCTGGGCGTGGATGAAGTGGGTGGAGCTTCTGATGGCCGAGCAGCCAATCGCACGAGGCTGTCATAACTCATATTTATTGGATTCCTTCCTTGTCGTCATAACAACCACACAGCGACGGAGAAGGTCTTCTATACGTTTTTGTGAAAACTGGAATAAAGTTAGTTTCTTTTTGAGGATTTTGAATTTGTTCTCCACTCCGCAAACGCAGCAGAAATAAGCGTCCTCGTCCTCTTACTGATGCAGCTACGCGGTTATAAAAAGGCCGCCGTTGTTTGGACTGTAACTGGACCCCCCGCGGGCTGCAGGATGAGCAGCTCCGGACCAACAGCACTATTCTTAGAACCATTGTAGCGCCGGACGACATGTGGAAGGTCAAACGTGAGTGTTTCTCGCTGCTCTCCGTGTTTTTATCACCCGGCAAACCGACTCGCTGAGACAGTTCGATCGATGAGACCACGCGGCCACTCGTGGAACCAACGTGGTCGCCGGTAGTTCTACCCGGTGGGGGGGCCGGGGGCCCGGGGGGGGTTCCTGTCTTTAGCGTCTGTGTTGTTCAGTCAGACTGAAGGTGAACATCGAGTTCTTTGTAGTGTTCAGTTTAAAATTCAGAGTTTGGAGTTGAATCCAAATAAAAACATGAGGATCTTTATTGATACTGAACTAAATTTAACTATTTATCAATTGATTGTTTAAAAAAAAAAGTCCTCACTTAACTAATAACTCTTTATATTCAGCGTTTTGCTTTTGTTGCAGCTCCGATTGCCTTTCCAATGGAGACGAGGTACCGGCCGATTTTGGAGGTAATACGGTGTGAGATAATAAAGCCTTCATATAACTTATTCTTCTCTAACATCATCTAACTGAAGAGTTTCAATATTCATTTATTGAAATTTTCACACGGGCTGAATCAATTAAATAACATCTCTCATGCGACTAAATGAAAACATGCCCGAATAGACTCAGTCAACATCGTCACCATCCTTCAGAATAAAAGCTGTTCCTGTCTCTAAAACCACTTCCTGTGCGCTCAGAGTCTGGTGCCCCCTGACCCCATGTCCCGGCTCCACCTGAGGAGATTTTCTGCCGACGAGGAGTTTCCTGACCTGAGCAGGAACTCCACCTGGATGGCACGGATCCTCACGCCGGCCATGTACCGCCGCCAGTTCCACCGCTGCACCCAGAGCGGAGTCATCTTTGATGACGTCATCCGCCCGGGCCTCGAGGAACCAGGTGACGTCGGCGTGACGTCAGCGCGTTAACATGAGCACCTTTACTTCTGTATTTGACCCTTTTGTGTCTGAAGGTGAACGGCCCACTCCAGAGTCCGTGGGCTGCGTGGCCGGCGACGCTCAGTGCTACGTCCTGTTCTGTGACTTCTTCGATCGGGTCATCGAGGCGCATCACCAGCACGAGATAAGCGGCCAGGCGCCAGAGGGCGACTTCAACTACGACAACCTGAAGGTAGCTGGTCGGACCAACGAGCGGCAACCCCTGAAAAGTGAAGCGAATTAGCTTGCATTCTTCCTGTTGTCCACCAGGGGGTGCCTATAGAAGTCAATGGGGAAATTCATCCTAAACTTGTGTTTATGGTCTTAATCTCTAGTTTCATCAGTTTTCATCTTCTTTAATACAGTCTGATGTTCATTTAGTAAATGAAAGTCAAATACACCATTGGGCAGGATATGCTTGAGGGCGGAGCTCTGCAAGTTTTCTTCTTCCAACTTGAACTGCTTCACGATGTGTTTTTAGTCATAAAAATGTATTTAGCGTTACACCAAAAGCCATGATAGCGGCGGGCTGAGAAGTCTGTCTTGTGACGTCATTGATGTAACTGATGTTTTCTGGCAAAAGTCCTATTGTTAAGCGGAGTTTCAGGTCTGTGGGAAACTACTGCTGATTTGTACAATGCTAATACTTTAGCTCAATGCGCTACCACTTTAACTTTATCGTTGTTTGTGTGCAGGGCACTTGCGACTTCGACAGCTCGTACGCCGTTCGCTGTGAGGCGAGCGTGGTTCGAGGCGTCGAGGACTTCTGCTTCCCGACGCACTGCAGCCGAGGAGAGCGCAGACAGCTCCTCACGCTGGCCAGGAGAGGTACTGCACGCCTGTGATCCAGAGTGTTTACCACTCCTCAAAGGTTACCTTGGAGCTCGGGGGTCGGATGCAGAGGAAGACGAGACGGTCTGACCATCCGCTCTGAGTATTCGACCACTTTTGGCCCCCACAGCTCTGCTGCGGCTGGAGGAGGAGGAGCTGCCGGGTCGATTCCTCCCACTGGAGGAGCTGGACCAGGAGCAGCAGAGGGAGCTGAACCTGGAGCCTCCGTCCGCCTATCAGCTCCGCATCGGCACGGCCCGGGACTGGCCCGACGCCAGGGCGGTCTGGTCAGTTCGGTTGGCTGTTCGGAGCCTGAGAGTGTCGTACAACCCAAATGGCATCATCTGCCACTGTGACGCTCAAGAATATAAGTGGAACATTTAGTCTAAATCACATTGCTCCTGGTTGCAGGGTGAGTAAAGACGGCAGTCTAGTGGTCTGGGTCAACATGGACGACCACCTCAGACTTGTGTCCACACGAGACGACGGCAACATCGTCGAGGCCTTTAAGTGCGTCTGCATCAACCTGCAGAAGGTCAGTGAAGTGTCTCCTTCTCAGGAAGCAGTTATCGGCTGAAAATCAGCTGGTTGCAGATGCAGAGCTGACTTCATTTTAAGTAATTGAAATGCATATTGTAAGCAGATTTTTTTTTTTTTTACAAAAATCCCTTGCTGTTTAAGGTACGGTTTTCTGGTATTTATGAATTTAACAAAGTAAAATACCACAAAACTGACTTTATAGTGTCTGACGTCTTTAAGTCCCCCAGAGTTGTTGACAAAAAGGGGTCGTGACCTTTGACCTCTGCGTTCCCAGCTGGAGGGCTTCTACAGAGAGCTCAGACACCCGTTCACCTGGAAGCAGCAGCTGGGGTGGGTGAGCAGCTCTCCGGCCGACGTGGGGACGGGCCTGAGGATCCGGGTCCACCTCAGACTGCAGCACCTCCCGGGACACAAGCGCCTGCAGGACGTCCTGCGGAGGCTGAGGGTCTGCATGCACGCGACCACAGGTAGCGAGGGCCGCGCTTTAGGTTCAAATATGCATGAGATGGTCTCGAGTTATTTATGTACTCAAGATCAAAGAGCAGCAACGCGCACAAACTCCGAAAAGATATCTGACATGCAGGCAGCTGCACGTGTATCTACATGTAACACAAATCAGTTTATTACAATTAATGAAAATGAGGCTTCAGTATCTCTTCACTCCACTAAAAGTCAGCAACTGTGGTTTCAAACTGTCTTTTTTAACTTTCCCAGAATCCCCGGCGCTGTATTGCGTGAGCAACGCGGCGACCTTCGGCCGGAGCGAGGTGGGACTGACCCAGCTGGTGGTGGACGGGGTCAAACTGCTCGTCGCCATGGAGAAGAGGCTGGAGGACGGCCGAGACATCGACGAGCTCGTCCCAACGCAGAAGTAGGTCGGGGCGACGATTGGCTGGAGTCAGGAAGAGAACGGATGGACCGACCAATCAGAGGGAAGCGTTGAAGCGTTTTTAAATTTTAAAAGAACAATTTAGTTTCATTAGCTTCAATGTTACAGTATGATGTTTTTAATTATACTCATGATAAAGCAAACAGGAGTATTTCTTTCGAAATCAACATTTTAAGTATTTTTAGTTTAATCAAACTGTGAAGGTGCCATTACATGAAATCTCTATTGGTAAAACAATCAATTCTAACAAAATGTGTCAAGACAAGTAGCTGAATTCTTCATTTGCACGTTGTTTTCGGCAGAATTTGGCGGAACCGAAAAAAAACAACAAAAAAAAAACACTCAATGATGGAAGAAGTTCCTCAGACAGTCTCCTTTATTAAAAGTAGCCTGGTTGAATACCAGTAGAAACACTCTCACAAGAAAAAGTGCCGAGTTAAACATCTAAATGTATGCTGAATGTACCATAATTAGTGAAGGACTTATAGATGCATGAATGTTACTCAAATGTTGCAGCTGGGAAGATTTTTAATGACTTTCTGTACCGCCTGGTGACTCAGTCCGTAATGAATAGTTTACAATGTCATGATTATGGATTTCTATTGCGTTACAGTTGTATTTGGACTTGTAGTTTTGCCACAAATAAAACAAACAAGTAATCAAAACCCTCGTTCTGGATCAGCATCGGGGACACCTGTGAAAGGTGCACAGCAGGAACATTGCACATCATCACATCCCGTCTCCTCGTGAAAACTGGCCCGGCTGTAGAAAGAACAACGACATAATAATGTCTGTGCTTTTTTAAAATTTTTTTTATTGAAAACGTTGTCATCCATCGCGGCCACACGGGACTTCTGCTACTGTCCGGCTGAGGGCGAGCCGGTCGGTCACGTGGTGCGAGTTATGACGTGGAAGCTGGAGGCGAAGGCTAGTTTTCAAGTAAGAGGCTCAGGTGCACAGTCTTCCACAGGTGACGTGAGGAATGCGTCGTATTCGCACCCTTTTCGGTTACGTTTGCATCGTTGTTTCCTTTCTATTTTTTTATTTTATAATTTTTTTAAGTGCTAGAAACGTCCAGAAAAGTGTTCTGTTGAACCGTCGACACTGTGCAGACTCGGTGGATTAGTGGGAACACAATTTAAAAGATGTAAAGGAGCAACTGAAAGACACAAACTGCGGGTTTTCCTGAACGCATCGGAGATACAGAGCGGTACATTCGGAAGGCAGTCAGTGATGGGGCAGATTCATCCGCCAGGAACCCGCGGCACACAGGAAGTAGTCCCTCAACAAAAGGACCAATCTGGTGATTTTCTACGTGCCGCTTCTTCCCAACATGAACAGTTTAAAACTAATATTATAACATATTATTAAAAACATTTAGCGTCAGTTATTGTGTGTGTTAATGCCTTATGTGTCTTAATACTAAATGCGGATTAAACTGCTGCGGAAAATAGTCCCCAGCAAAGTGTTTAAAAAATAAAAAACAGTCACCAGCTGTTTTAGGAAAGACTTTTTTAAACAGTAAACTTTTGTGTTTTAAAAAGTGGGCCGAGGGCCACAAACAGGAAGCACATGAGATTGATTATAAAAAACAAATATGTATATACATATAGAAACGAACACCAGACTGATCCTTTACGTTTGAACCGGAGACAAAGTGATAGATGTTCTGGTTTAATGCAACATAAACGTTAAGTTTAAATCTCACGGTTAAAAGCTTTGGAAAAAAAGACAATGAATGAATTAGTCATTTTTGTCAGTGAGAAACAAATGAATGTCGACAGTGTGGATCAAGTAAAAACCGACTGATCGATACTGTACCTGCACGTATTCACCTGGACGGGCGTTTTTTCACACAGCATCAATAATAAAGTAACAAAAACACATTCTGTTCGATCAGCTTAGAATGTGTAAAAAAGAAAAAAAAAGAGCTTTACAGGTTGCATTCGAACTGACATCATCGACCCAGAGCTCCAGTATTATTGCGAAAGCATTAACATCAGCCAGCGGGGGGGGAGGTCGGAGGTCAGAGGTCACAGGCTTACAACCACCAGGGAGGACGTCGTCCCGTCTCGTTGCCCCGCCACGTCTTCAGGCGGTACAGAGAAACTACAGGGGGGTTTGGTGGAAGGGTCTTTTCACATTAGATGTTATTTTGGTTTTGAAGTGGATACAAAGTGAGATACAAAGACGCCTCCGAGCGACAGCTGAACAAGAAAAGAAGAAGAACCGGGAGATTAACATCCAAACGTGTGCGGATTTAAATGTGAAGTCGTTTCACAATAAAAGCAGGTAGTAGCGAGGGTTAAAAAGCAGCTCTTCTTGGGAGTTTCAGGACGGAAAGGGACGTCCGTGTGGGGACAAGCGCCTCCTCACGCGCAGTGTTCAGGGCCCGTTGGGGGGTCAACAGTGATCGAGGGTCACTTACGCTCTTCTGAAAAAGGAAAAGAAATCTACCTTGTGACCCCGTCGCCTGAATGGAACCATTTATTTATTCTCCTCTTGGGGCCAGAACTTCAAATGTGAATAATACA